TGTATAAATAATGACAACGTTTTTGTAATCACATTTTTATACGAAACTCAGCAGCATTAAGCTACATTACGCTGATATTCTGTGAGAGCGTGGTCGTTCCCCGGTCGAGCCGAAGCATTTGTGCTACAACTATACTACTAATATAACTGCAGCATGGCTCTACCACGTATAGTCAAGTCATATTGAAGAAAATCAGTGTTCGTTTGTCGAAAACAACGTTCGCAGTTTACAAAACAAAGACCTAGTCTTCTCGCCCGCTCGCAGTCGACCAAAGGAGTTACGGAGAATTAACCGTAAAATAGTGCGCAAAGTATTAAGGGCACAGTGCCCGTCTTATACATACCGAGTCTTTGCCCTTGTCAGTATAAAGAAGACGTTCCAAGCAGTTTTGCCATTAACAAAATTTTACGTTTTTGAAGACTAATTTTTTTCTTGTATTACCTACTTATACATCATCTAGGCCTATGTTCAGCAGTGGACTTGTGAAGGGCTGTAATGATGATGATGATGACGTCATCTACTTATATATCATATATACACGTAGCAGTTTTAGGAGTCAAGTATTTTTTAAGCAATTTCGTTGACAGTAGACGTCAACATCGTGAGTTTCTTAAAATAAAACAAAATAATAATTTATGTTGTTTATTGCATCACTGAATACTGTTTCTAACACTAGCGTACATTCAATATCGAACGAAACTATAAAACCTCTCATGTACACACGTCACATTCGAAATAACTATACACCAAAACGTTTACTATAAACTTCTACTAAACTTAAACGGACCTTACCAATTATCGACATCGAATAATAGTGATGTGACACTTTCAACAAGTTATTTTTCACAAAAAAAAACATGAATACGAATCACAATACTATTTTTTTTTTATAGAATAAGGGTGACAAACGAGCACACAGCCCACCTGGTGGTAAGTGGATGCTGTGGCATGGGCCATTGTCTATGGAGACATCTAAATTTATTCCCATTAATATAACAAAAAGACGGAATGCCTCATTTCCAGTAAAAAAGGATCTCTGGTTCTCTACACTCACCACACGAAACAAAGCAGCATTAAGCTGCTATTTTACACTGATATTTTGTGATAGCTTATTTTCATATTACGATAATATAATAGATAAAATACGTTATAAGAATTCGTAACACAATTTTATAAAAATAAAGTAAAAAACGAACGTACAGACCGCGTGATAATAAGCGGTTACTGCACTCCATGGGCACGTTCAATCAACTTCAAACAAAGGTTTGAGGATGCGTAATCACCTCTGAGGACTAAAATGGAATGCCTCACAGATGTAATTATATAGGCTCTGTATATATACCCGGATACATGTATATAGACCGGAACACTATAGGACAGGCACTGACATTTGCCAATAGAAACAGGTTAGAGAACAGGAGAACGATCACTACGTACTAAAGCATAGCACGCCTGTCCTTGAATGAACAGAAGAATGTATAGCGGCGCTGACGTCGGTGAGTCGTAACTGCGAAGTTAGCTGTTTATGAGTACAAGTAGATGAAGTTAGTTGAATGATGTACAAATTTTCTTCGCGGCATTTTTGAGAATATTTTCATGCTCCGTAATTTTGTAATTTTTGACAAAAAGAAACATTAAAAATGGAGAAATATTTTATTGTGCGTGGTTGTGCAAGTAGTTTAACATCTGATCGGAAAAATAGACTGAAAATGACTTTTACTGAGCGAACTTAGTGATCGCAGCGCCTCACTTATGGCGTCCGTATTTCTGGGACACTATTTTCTACGGCGATCGTTCTCTTGTTCTCTAACCTTCATGGGTTAGAAGATGGTACCTACCGAGCCATTTCATCTGGTCCTAGGCAGCTCAGGAGTACATAGGTAAACACAGAACAATATCAACGTCCAAACTTTAATGAAAGATTCATCATATATTTGTAAGTCTTAATAATAAATGATCAACCTATTTTTTGTAATTATTTAAGTATTAAAAAACTGTTACAGAATACAATCATCTAAGCTCTACTCGGCACGGCATTTTTTTATAAGATAAGAGTGATAAACGAGCACACATGATGGTAAGTGGTTGCTGTGGACCATAGACATATTCTCGATTACGAATCAAAATGCAGGTGTGTTGCCACCCGTAAGAACTAAGATGGAATGCATTTAAATGTAATCAAGTGTATAATATAAGCCATTGGGCACGCCTACTTCACCTTCACTTTTCCAATAATGTCTGTAATCCCTCTATGGCAAAATCTGAAATGTCCAGCATTTCCATTTTATTTATACCATATCGATAATTGGAAAGGAATCGCAATCACCTTTTAAAAGTATAACTTTACCAAAGATTATTTTCTACGGATTTAAACCAGAATCATATTTGGCAGGAATATTTGAATGAGATTACCAACTTAATAATTTGTGCACGTTTTTGAACACTGTACAACTAAATACATAATCAACTTTCATGACCCAGAAACATTTTTGTAATATAATAAAATTTATTTATTAAAAATATCGACATTAGTGCGAATGAGCACCCTTACTTAGATAAAGCTGGGTACACACTAGTTTGCGTATACGAATAACTAATAGAAAGATTAACTTCCGAATTAAATTAAATTTATTGATAAAATATCGTATAACTGAAATTTTAAACACTTATTTCAATTATTTTTAGAGCGATTAGAACGTCAAAAATTTTTTTCCGCCACGGTGACGACACTTTGCAATGAGATGAAATATTTAACAGATTTCATAACAGGGAACAGAATTTCTTAGAAAAATGTTAAGATTAATATTTCTTTCTGAGTTATTAGTTATAATTTATATTAAGTAGATTAGAAATTAATAAAACAGACTATGATATATTACTAAAAGTAGAAAAATTAAAAAAGTGCAAATAATTAAAGATCAAACCACTGAGACTGAGACTTGTGTATTAATATAACAATTAACTGACGTAGTGTAACAAAAAACTTTGCCTCATTGTTGTCGATGCTTACTTTTTTAAAGTAATTTATATCACACAAACTGGTGAGTACATAATGACATTATATATTACTTTCCCTCTTCTAAAACTAAATTTATATTTAAACCATTGCATAAAAACAAATTAAGAACACCATGTTTAGCATACCTTTACCTTTTTATTGCATGTCTAACTTAAGCGTCTCGAGTTTAATTATTAATATAAAAATACAATATTTACATTATGCCTGTATGCACCAAGTCGGTACAGATTCTGTAAAAAATATTTACAAATAAAACATTCATTAATAAATCAAATTCAAAATATAAACAATTTTAAATTAATTACAAATTTAGGATTAAAATAAAATAAGCATTAAATTATAGAATGAGATTGATAATTTCGACTTACGGAAATCACTTAATCTATGGAATTTAAATTCTAAAACTAAATATCCAAAAATGTCATGTTTCAAATTTTCATCCGTAGAGAACTATAATCAAAAAGAATCCTATATTCCCCAAGTAAACCACTGCTAATGTTGCTAGGTTGAAAAATTACAATCGGTAATATATTTGGACTATCACAATATCGGTAGGTACAAAATTCTACATCTAAAATGCGAAAGAACCGCTCCCATACAACGCCATACTAAAACAAAAACAATATAACATGGTGTACAAGCGGTGTTTTATACTACAATGTTTATACTACTAACTTTTCTTTATTGGTAAAAAATTTAATAAACATGTTTGTATACGGATATTATTACAATTTGTCTAAAACTTTATAAGATTTCGAATTAATAACTACAAAAAATGCGTTAAAAAATGTGCGTTGGTTTCTAGCGAGCCTAAAGAGCTCGCTTATTTGGTTGCCAGTACAAAAAATTAATCTCGTGCAAAAGCGAGCGTATCAAAAATGGAATAATATTGTGCCGCGAGTATTGTTCTTGTAAAACTGCTATACGCTAAAATACTTGTATAGAAATTTAAAAAAGAAATGTATATTTTCCATAGAAAAATATCGGGGCTCGTTGTTAATAGAATGGAACGAATATTAGGCGTACAAACATTATTAACAAGTTCTACGGGTACCACACATTAAAATTGCAATCTTAATTTTTTTGAGTCTATTTTGGATGGCAACACTTTTCTTCAATAAAAACATGAACAAAAAAAACAAAATAATATATAATAACAACAGAAAACAAACAATTTCAAAGAAACAGGAACATTTATTTGAATAGTAAAAAAAAACATTTTTTTTAATAGGATAGTGTGACAAACGAGCACACAGTCCACCTGTTGGTAAGCGGATGCAGCGGCCCATAGACATCTACATTTTTATCCTCGATTAATAATCAAAATGCAGAATACGTTGTCAGCCCTAAGCAGCAAGATGGACATATACAGGGTGTTAGTGTATACACCGTTATCCTTGAAACCAGTGGTTTGGTTTCACTTATAGAACGTAAATCCAATGAAAAATTACAACATTTTTTTTAGTAAAATTTCTATTTTTCCTTAATTCCTCAAATTTTGCCTGTACTAAGCCAGGATGAAAGTATGAAGGAAAAGTTACATCACGGGTTATGTGTACCTATTGTGTTTTCATTGCAATGTTGTGTATGTAGCTAGCGCGGGCGGTGATCTTTATGGTGATTACGTCACTCGGGCGCATAGGGTATCCATGAATTTACGGATGGTGTCGGACAGAAACTTTTTAAATTTTATGAAAGAAAATAGCGTTCTTCTTTTAAATTCATTGAATTTACGTTCTCTAAGTGAAACCAAACCACTGGTTTCAAGGATAACGGTGTTTACACTAACACCTGCATGAATTATTAAACATGCAAAAAATATTTACTTGTAGTTTACTAATTTCATTATAAAATTGAGTAGGAGTTGGGCGTTATTAAAATGTAATTTCCTTAGTCAATAAAGCGTGTTTATTCTAAACTTAATTAAGATTACTTATTATAGTGCAGTACCCGTAAAAATTTATATAACAGGCACGATCGTTCAAACGACCGTCTCATTCTGTTTGTCGAACATCGCTCGAGTATACTTCGAGATAACTTCGTAAGTAGACTTTAGCAACTCGCAACGCTCCTCCACTTCGCTAGTAGTGGGGGCAACTTTGTACGACGAAGCCTTAGCCCGCCGCGCGGTGTTGCCGTGCGCGAAACAATCGCCCGAGTTCACAGGAAAATCGACCATATTGTCCTCGATATTGTATATAGATATCAATTGTTTTTTGTGCACCATCTCCAGGTCCTTGCGGCGTTTCTTCTTGTCACTGTTCGGAAAGAGGCCGTTCGCGTTAATGGACATGATGGCCTTCTGTACGGGGTTGTACTCCAGCGAGTCGCTGGACTCCTGCTCGTATCATACGTCCAGCTCCTCCAAGCCCTTGGAGAGCCGGTGAGAGTTGATGCGGCGCCGGTGCGACCGCCGCACGGCGTCCGCGCGCCGGTAGGGCTCGCTGCGCAGCCCGTGCAGGATGTCCTCCAGGGCTCCGTTGTATACTTCGTCTTGGTGAAGGAGTTTCTTTTCGCCGACGGTTTGCGATTTCGTTTTTAATTCGTTGATTACAGCTTCCTGTGGTGGTAAATTATGTATAAGATTTTATTTTCAGATGGCATGTACATATTTGATTTAAAATTAAGATATTTCAATATAAAAAGTGAATGTAGATTGAAATATCCTACTTTAACTTAATAACATGAAGTGCTAAAATGTATTTGTTTATAAAGAAATAAACATTAATTGGAGCTAGTTACGCAGCAATAACCAAAACCAAACGTTTTAAGATGAGAGAAGTGTATGTACTAAACTACCTTTAGACCAAAATTCGTTAGTTTCTAACATAACTTTGATATTACTTTTGAAATACTATACTGTATACTGGCAACATTTTATTTATGAATACTGGGTAAGACTAACATTCAATGCCTAAAAATATGACCACTGAATTATTTTACATAACTGGATACAATAACTTAGTTCGTTGTGTTTTATTGCAACACAGTATTTTTCTATTGTAAATAAATTATACAGTAGCTAAAAATAATCGAATGTATTACTAGCGTCAATGAATTGATAGTCTGCATCTCTGTATAGTGTAATGTATTGACTTGTATTACCTTAATTTTGTAGTGGCATTTATTTTTACCAAAGGGAAATTCAAAAATAGTTCAACACTTTCTAAATGCCTTGTTATTTATACTTTTCACTTTTTAATTTTAATAGTTTTTATGTCTACAGCTTTTCAAACACAGGACTTTCAAAAGATTCTTATTTTTTTTTTCCACCGCCCGTAAAACCACGGGCGGACATGGGCCTTTTCGGTTGTAAGGATTCGCCTTGATGATCACGCTCGGAAAGCAGATGACGATCCCAGTGCCACCGCCAGTACCGGACGTGAGCACTTTTGACGCTCCGCCGATTAGGGCATTTTACGCTTGGCGTAAACAAGATCATTCTACCGTCACCACAAAGCCATTAGATTTTTGTGGAATATTCTAGTCGCTACTCACGGCACTCGCGGGACACAATGGATTGATGGATGTATCGACATACACGACGCCTCATCAGGGTGGCTTTTTTGACGATTTAAAACAACTCATAAGTTGAAATTATAAGTCCATTTTTCACCTAGCACTGGTTTCTTATTACCGGTTTGTGAATTTTTTAACTTGGACATAAAACATATTTGGGAAACCTAGATTAAATAACTATCAATTGAGCTTCTAATGTGAAAAGTGTATCATTTACTAATTTAAATTATATTATTTTATAACTATTGAAACGATAAAAATATTATAATGATATTTTCTTTCAAGTTAAAAACACCAACGAATGTGCAAACTATCTTTTAATATTTATTTACAAGCAACTGTTTTCTGCTTATTATATAGTTGTAAATGCTTATTGAACCGAACCAGTGTATATATTATCAAAAACCAAACTCGTGTATCCTATTACTATGATCATGCATTACTTTTTGACTTTATTCTGTGAAAATTGGGAAACTAAGTTAATGTGAAAAAAGTAATACTTATTAAAATTCGACGTAGTTCACTTTAATTAAAAATGGCTACAAGGGTCTTAATTTATTTAATTATTCATTAATTTTAAATATCCCATTAAGTTGTGGGTGAGTCTCAAAGTCTATAGTATAGTATCTTCTGATGTTAACACTGATTATTTGTTTTGGTTCTGTAAGTGTAATACTAAAATAATTACATTCACAGAACCGATCTCTCGTCTCAATCGAATTATCTCGTCTACTTCTCTAATCAACATCGAAATGCTCTCTGGATATTTATTAATTTACGACAGGTTTGGACCCAGCGAAGTACTAAGATATTTCTTATTTCTCTCTTAAAAAGCATACAAGGCCTTGCCTATCTATTGCATATTGTACAATTATTATTACATACTCATATAGAGCCGTGGTATCTCAGGGGTTAAATGCTCGCTATATATTTCACAGAACGATCACCACTGCCTGTACCCACGGGAAATTGTTCTTCTTTTATAGAATAAAGATGACAAACGAGCACGCAGTCTACCTAATGGTACGTGGATGCTGGACCATAAACGTCTTTATTTATTCTCGACTAAGATTCAAAATGAAGATACGTTGTCCTACCCCTGAGGTCTAAGATGTAATGCCTCGTTTACAATAAAAAGGGTATCCGGTTAATTGCTGAATTGCAGTCTTAAGTTATGAAATACCACGTGCTCCCTCATATATCACTGTGAACATCATGAGAAACCTGAATGTCTGAGAAATACAAATATTTCTTACTTATACGTCATATTATTTATTAATTAAAGGAAAATTTAAGACAACTACTAATACTGAGGCAATACAGCGATATGTTATTTAATATATAAAGTTATAAATACAATTGAAATGACAATAAAATATTTTCCGTATAATTGTTATCATAAAAAAAGGAAAATTAGTAACTGTTTTGTCTATTTTCTAACTTAGCTCAAAGTATCGTCACAAGCAAAAGCGCCTACGACTATTCTATGTATATGCAATACATTAGCTTAGTTAAAACTCAAAGGATTACACGAGTTTGGCTGTTAAATGTGTCAGTATTAGAAGCGTTAAACATAAATTAGAAAAAAGCGCTACAAGTAAGTGGTTTAAGATTCATCAATGTGACATTCCCTGTATTATCCATGCAATGTGCAGCAAGAAGAAAAACATCATTGTCAATGTACAGTCGCATTCACAGAGACAGACGGACAAGTTGAACTATATACATAAAATACAAGTACAACGGTGTACGAAACACACGTAATAAACGGAAAAGTGTTGTAAATTGCTTTAGATAAATTCCGGCAATCGAATACGGAAATGTAAATTATGTGAGTTTTACTCTGTTCCTTAAATTATACCAATTTACACAAATATAAATTTACCAATATCTTCTTATATTATATTATACACAAGTACTGCACACAGAACAAAACTAATTTGAAGTATATTATTGCATTCAACAATGATTCTCTCTGCTATTTTTAGTTAAAAGTCAATAATTAAAACAAAGTTAGGATAAGTCAAAATTAAACGCGATTAAATCCGTAAAAGTAGTGTTATTCAATTCACCAATGTCTTTAATAATGCAAACATAGGCATAAAACGAAAATAAATACGCTATAACTAATTTTTTCTCCTGCAGATTGAACCTTGCGAGTGCAAAAAATATGTAAGTTTTGAATTACTTGAAATTATTAGATCTTTGTAAAAATCCTACTTAAACGTTCTGTGCGAATGTTTTTCATAATTTTAATAAAAACATAATATTGTTTTAGTTATAAATATAATATAAAATAACATTTTGTTCTTGACTGTACCTAAATAACTATTTAACAGCTAAAAATAAAATAAATAGAATAAATACGACCGTAAAAAAATTCAGAATTCCGTTCTTATTCGCCAAACTACTTGGTTTCTTTAACCAAAGTTAACTTATCTTTATAAGAGTTAGAGCCACTTCCGAAACAGGTTTACAATAAACAACTAAACACGAAAATTGATAGATTCATATAGAATATGCGGTATTAGTGAACATACATATATGTGCCGATATACTTCGATGGATTGGCATTGGTCGTGGGGTCGTGTACCATGCTTAAGAGGCGTGTGTTGTTTAAAAAGCCTGTATTTGATCGTTCACCCGACAGTTCTGATCCCAAACATGCTGATTTTGTGTCTACACACCGGCATCAGTCCACTCGAGATTGATGCCAGCAGTCCCACAAGTGCTTGAACGATTCGATACCTGAAGGGTATCATTCTTGAATCTACTAACTTTTAATTGGTGTATATGTTGAAGTCAAAGTATATTGTAAACAAAAATCTGTGTACGAAATTTAGTTTACATTTACTTTAAGCGTCATCACAAAGTTGAAATTTATTATTCAGTAATTGTTTTTTAGTATAGTACGTGAGGATAATATGATCATCCGGTTAATATGGTCACGTTCTTATAACTGAAAAACTACAGCCTTGTTTGCATAGATGGCTCTGTGATACGATAGCTCTTCATTAGTCAATGAAAATAATAAAGGGTCAAAAGGGCGCTGCTTTATCGACGCCATTTTGACAGTGGACATCATAGTAAATATTTAAGTCGATTTTAGTATGGTGTAGTTGTAGGTAGTAAGTTTTTTTAAGTTGATTTTTCGAAGTGTTTCTAATTATTGCCAGATCTGTTTTGCTATTTTTTTCTTAACATATAAATTATTGCATATGATTTTGTGTCATTGTCTGTATCCTCTTTCTAGTTTTGGTTTTATAGGGCGGTAAAGCTTAAGCTGAAACCTACGGACTGTTCCCAGCCATTCTCCCGCAAGATGGCGCTGAAGTCTACATTTTCAGTTTATTTGCATTTTTGTGTAATTGGAAAATTATTAAGTCGTAGGAGTAGACTTAGCGGTTATCGGATATTACATTTTATAGGAATGGGTCATATCACTGCCTCAAAATCAACCCAATTCGACATTAATTTTGATTATAAGATCTGTCATTGAATATAGTGTCGTTTACACACAGATAGACGTATCGCTACGTTTACGAAGCTAGAACACTAGATGGCGTGTATGTAAAAAAAGTTTTTAATTTTTGTATATGTGCAGATTGGGTAGGCAAAACACTATGTACGATTGTGATAAAAATAAAATTTATATTTGTTGGCGTAAACTATTTAATTGATTTATAACTTTGGGAAATAAATTATGTAAACATTGATTACAATATAACGCAGTTTTGTTTTATTACATTACACTATTGAATTTTTTATCGAAACAGAAGTACCTATTTGAAGCAACATAAGCCTATTCACTCAAAACTAATAACACTGATGATTTGTAACAATACCAATTATTACAATAATTAGACATTTCATAACCAACACGTAAGAAACTATAATTCACAAACAAGGGATAACAACAAATCTATAACACAATTTATTTTGTGATAATAACCAGGAAGTTTGAAAATAATATTTCCTAATTTCGAAGCACTCAACAAAAGCTTTTATTAAAACAAAAATATAAATCCTATACCTACGAGC